CAGGAACTGATCCAGTCACCCCAATCTGCTGGAGCCTCTTGCTTTTGAGAGTGGATTCCCAGCTAAAGAGTCCTTTATCTTTGGGCAAGGGGAGAAGCTGGAGAGATGTGTTTTCCCCTTCCATGGGCATCGCCACAAAACGCTTTGTCTGGACAGCAGATGGGACAATATTCCCAACCCTTATTTGGACTTGGCTTTGGGGAAGAGCTGCAGTTCCCCGGTGGTGCTGGAACACGGCTTAGAATCACAAACCAAAAAAATTGGCAGGTTTGGATTTCTGGTAGCCATGAAACTGAACTCAGGGAGAAAAATCCAATCGGCTGTGGTGGGGGCTGCACCACTTCCATGCCTTGAAACCCCTGGTCCCAACCCAAAGCCCCACATCCTGCAGAACTTGGGGTTTCTCTGCAGTGGTTGCTGATGCTCTCCCCTCTCTCTTTCCTACAGGAATTTCTGCTGTGGCATTGATGTCTGTCTGTGCCGGGACACACCACCAGGCTGCAGTCATACAGGGAGGTTGTGATGGACGGGGGAGGTTGTGGACATCCCTCGGGAATCTGGGGGGCCAGCTAGAAAGCGTGGCCATTCCCAAGGCTCCAGTAGAGTGGCTTGACGAGCGAGCGGAGGAGGTTCAGCTCCGTTCTGGGCCCTCTGGGAGGGAAGCCGAGCAGGAGCAGCCCTCAGGGGCAGGGACAGAGGGTGGCACCGGGTGCCTGGAGCCTTTCCCACCCCAGTCCCGCGTGGATCCGGGATGCGGGGCCGGGTCCCCCGAGCAGCGCGGGGCCACTTCGCCCTCTGGTGGCGGGAAGGGGGAAGCGCGGCGAGGTGGCACCGGGGCTGTCCCCGAGCTGTCCCCGGGGGTGACGCGGCGACACCCGCCCCGACAGCTCCTGTGTGACCCGTGCACCGCCCCCCGCGGCGCTAAAGGGCTGCGGTTCCCTCGGGCAGCAGAACAGGTGACATTTTATTCCCAAAACAAAGCGCGAACAATAGTTAGCGCGGGACAGACAACGGACCCAAACCTGGTCTGAGATTCCCGGTGGAAGATAAATAAAGGACACAAATAAGCAATAAATCGTTTGATGGAATGAGGATCACAGAGAC